GCTATATAAGGAATGTACACTATGTGTTGGTCTCTCAGAATGTTGGAACAGGAGTTCATCTGAGATCCGATCGGTAATGTGAATAAAGGCCTGTTACTTCCTGAAGACCTGTGTCCAATATTTCTGTGTTTGGCTTCTGCATGCTTACACTGCAACATTTCTGGTGCAATTGGGCCGGGAACCTCATCGCACGGAAGCTGGCACAGAGATTTGAGATGGTAAACTTTTACCAAACCTTCTACGCTACAATCCTGGACTTCTACTGCGTGGACCTCCTTTCGTCTCGGCGCCACTGGCCTTTTGTCCAGGAGATCATCGGCTTCTGCGCAGTGAGTCCCGGATTGTTCCGTCTATGAGTGAACCCAGGTCCAGTAATTGACAGGTAAGATTGATACCGTTAGAGCGGTAGACCCACAAGGGGTTTTATATTTGGAACCGGTTATTGGAATCTGCCCTGTCCTTATGGATGGAAGAAGTGAAAAGCGCAACACTTATTGGTTTGGGTCAGACTGAGTTGTGGTGTAAATAGCTCATGTCGGACACCGGTGTCCTGTCTTGACTAGCGTATCTAGGGTGTAAATTTTGTTCGCTAGGTCGGGGGGACCGGGAGACTAGCATACTCTGTTGTATATTATAGTTTGCTAGATTTCACCCTATCTTAATTAAGTGTGCTCTGTTGTAAATCCAGCCACTAGCTTATTGATAGTTTAATAGACTAGCTGGGTACTGTGTAAATTCTGCCCTCTAGTTCGCTATACGTGGTGTCTGGGCAGCGAAGAACTTATCGAATCTCTGGTGTATAAATAGATCGAAAGCTCTCGAGGTGCTGGCCAGTTAGAATAGTTGGGATTATTGTAAATGTTGTTAAATATATTGTAGTTGGTGAATTGGTTAACTTGTATGTCCTACTAGAAAGTTAGAGCTCTGCTGTCTAGTGGGAGTGTAAATTGTGTGTATAACTGTAAAATAGCGCACGGTACCATAACTACTGACATGTACCATAACCATGACATTGTGTAAAAATTACTAACAATTGCTGTTTTATGTTATTTGTATAATACCATAACTGTTACTAACTGATCTGTGACTTTAAAACTGTATTATAACCACTTACTAACTGTACCATAACCACTGACTGTAAAGATGAGGTTACTAGAATGTGATATAGTTGGTTAGTCAAGAGTTGATTTATAGTACAGATAATTGTAGAGATGAAATCTGTTGAAATGTTATGTGATCGGTTAGTTTATATGGATTAATAGCGTGGATAGTTGTATGGTTTGAATAATAGTTACATTGATAAGTGTATAGTCTTTGGTGGGTTTTTGATTTAATTTCGTGTGTGCGACGTCGTGATATTGTTGAGCATGTGAGGATCCTGTGTGTGTGTTTGGGCCTAGTGACTGCGCAATGTGTTGCTGGTGATAAGGAGATTGGTGTGACTGTTGAAACTGTGTGTATATTTGTACAGCTTTTTGAATCAGATGCTCTGTTGAAATAATCTTCTGATTCACAAGGCTTTGTCTTGTATGTTTAAAAAAAAAAAAAAAGGTAGGGAGTAGCTTGTCCTGGTGGCCGCATGGCCTCCATGTAGCAGTCTTCACTTAAATTTAGTGCAGGGTGTACATGTGGCTGTAACTAGTAGGCTGGAATTCTATGATCAGTTTCTATATATTGACTGTTGGAAACTGATTGTTGAAAAATTGCCTTGGTGAATTAAACTGTGTCATATGGGAAACAATGTAGCCATATGGTGGTCAGAACTAAGGACTTAATTACAACTGCTTTGGATATCCCCTCCCCCCCTGGCATCTGATTACCAACCCCCCAAACATCCTCCAGAGCCAGAGTAGCCACGCCCATTTCTTACTCCCAAAACTGGTATATAATCAGTATTTGCACTCCCCCTGCTCTACTGTCCCCGCCTACCCACATACCTATCTGTTCCTGTGTTTCAAACTCTTGTATTTCTGTACTACCCCTCCCCCTAATCAATGATCAATGGTATCAGATGGTATATGGTCTTTATTTTAGTTACTGGATGGGCCCCTCCCAGCTTTGTCCAAAATGTCCCCTTTTACTAAACTACAAACTGAAATGTTTAATTTACCTTAGAACTAAAGATTTAATCAAGCCTAGCTAGCAGGGTGGACATTGATTAAAATAAGTAATAATAAAATAGGACATAATTAATTAAAGTCTATTTGTTTCATTTGACTTTAGGGAGGCACTCTAAGCCACCTACTGGCCATCTTCGGGAGTTACATTGATATTACATTGTTTATAACAGATAGAAGTAGGATTGCTTACCCTATTTTAATATATTTATTGCTATAAGGTTTTATTTTATGTATAAATATATTAAAAGTTGAGTTTTCTTATTAGACCCATAAAGATTATTTTGATACAATTACCCTCTGGTGACACCTACTGGTAGGTTTTTGGTTTAAAACTTTAAACAAAAAGTTTTTTTTCATCCACCAAATGCTGACTAATAAAATTAGCTCACCCCCTTGCACCTATCTTACTACCCGTAGACTGGAACCTATTATTGGGCAGCCTTGCCGAAGTCCCATATTAGACACTGCTTGAGTCAAATAGGTTGTATACTCCCTTTAATCCAGAGGCCCCTGAAAACTTCCGAATGATAGACTCAGCATTTGTCAGCCAGGCCCAAGGTGATAGTAAAAGGAAATTACAGAAAATTAGAGGGATTTGTAGGGATGTCCATAATACAGCTAATGGAGATTGCAAATACAGTATATATGAATAGGGAGACGGAGGAAGAACGTAAAATGAGGAAAAAGGCAGATATGCTAGCGGTAGCTATCTTAAGTGTAGAAAGACAGGGAAGTGAATAGAGGAGACGAGAATAGGCTGAGCAAGGGACTTTAAGTAGGAATTAATGTGTGTATTGTAGAAAGGAGGGACATTGGAAGAGTGAGTGTCCACAGAGAGAGTAGTATGAAGGTGATAGACAGGAGAGAGAAGAGTACGAGAAGGTTATAGTGGTAGTTATAGAGGAAGAGGAAGTTTTAGAGGGAATGATGGGAATAGTAGAGGAAGTGTTCAAGGAGACAGATACTATCCACCCACGCAGAGACCTAGAGAAAGAGAGGATAGAGATTTTGTGGGTCTGGCTGACACTATCATGGAAGACTATTGATACCGACTGGGCTCCATCCCACTTGGTCGAGCGGAGCCTATGGTCGATGTAGCAATAGGGGGAAAGAGAAGTTCTTTCATGATCGACACAGGTGCTGAACATTCTGTGGTGACTAAGATGGTGGCTCCGCCTTCGGGGAAGACTATAACTGTGATAGGAGCTACTGGGAGAAGTGCAGCTAGACCGGTTCTTAAGAGTCGCACTTGTATTCTGGGAGGCCATGTGGTGAAGCATTAGTTCCTATATATGCCAGAGTGTCCGATTCAACTTTTAGGATGAGATCTATTATCGAAGCTTTAAGCTCAGATAACCTTTTACCTAATGGATTAACATCTCTGAAGTTTAAGGGATTACCAGGCATAATGGCGATATCGGTGCCAAGGGAAGAAGAATGACGCTTCTATTCCATAGTGACAAGTGTTAACCCTAAGAGTGATGAATCCTTATTTGACATTCCAGGAGTATGGGAAGAAAATAATCCTCCAGGACTTGCTCGTAATATCCCACCAATACATATTGAGTTAAAGCTCGGGGTGTATCCTGTTAGCCTTTGTATGTTGTTCTTTTATCTACCCCAACAGCTGTAAAGGTGGCGGAAGTGACTCCTTGGATTCATCATTCTAAGGTTAAACCAGCAGCAGACTCTTGGCAAACTACTACAGATCCTGAGAATCCTTGCAGGACCCGGTTGAAGCGTGCAACTTAGTCGGAGTGACGAGGGGATATCGAGACATTCTAGTTAAAAGTCTACAAAGATCATCAAGTAGGTGTTTTGACGGCCATAATAAAGCCTGACCACCTGCCTACGTGTCATAGCCAGAGTATCTTGAAGGGATCTCTGTGAAGGAAAGTGAGGATCAGAAGAACAACATCCTTGCAGCCCTCACAATCGGGAAGCTGAGAGGCCATCGCACGGTCGAAGAAAAATGAGGATTTCAGGAATAATGTGTTTTATTGTGTCTTAGTATTTTTATGATTTTTCAGGAAGGTAGGAGTACAGACATACCGAATTGCGATAGTTGCATTAAGACTACTAAAACAGGTAACCAAATATCCCAAACTCTCATCTGGCACTCACAGTATGAATGTAAGGGATCTGTATCTAAATGTAGATATTTGGATATTGATTATAGTGTGTGCAAGCTAATATCAGGAGAGTCTAAATGTTTTGATCCCCATTTCCAACCCCGTACAATTTGGTTGGTAATTCGGAATAGTAACTCCCAGGGGACATTACTAAATAGGACTGTGATAAGCACCATACATTCCGCGGGTATTCTACTATTTGATGCATGTAAGGCGATTTCGGGTAGTGGAAGACTTTGGAATGTATGTGGTAATCTTAAATGGGAACGAACTTATGGGTTTAATGATAAATACTTATGTCCCAGTAAAAGATCTACTGATCCTGATTGCCCAAATAGAGACTAACTTCTGCCCCTATTGGTCATGTGTAGGTTGGGCAACCTGGGAAAAACAGTGGATCAAGATATGATGATCCAAAGGTTGCCTACCACACCATACTGTAAAACTATGTGTGTAACCCCGTTCACATGACCATTTCCAATCTGCAGTACTTTATTGACAGGTTTGGAGGTCTGTTTGGGTTTCAAATATATGGCACAGGAGTAGATTCAGGAACAATAATATATGTAGGTCTTGAAACTGAGACAGTGGCAACTCAAACTCATTAAGTACTAGAAGTAAATTGGAATGGTGGTTAAAAACCTCCATTATAGGTCATGTTTGTATAGCCAGGAAAGGGACAATGTATAACACGTCTGTAGGTGAGCTAACTTGCTTGGGACAAAAAGCCTATAATGTTAATACTAAAAATACTACTTGGTGGTCAGCTTCAAATGTCTCGGACCTACTAATCCGTTTGCCAATTACACTCATTTAAGGGAGGTATGGTTTGACTTATCGGCTACATCTAGTTGGAAAGCCCCAGCAAATTTATACTGGATTTGTGGTAAGAAAACTTATTCGGAGTTACCACAAGATTGGGAAGGGGCATGTGTATTAGGTATGCCAAAGCCATCCTTCTTCTTGTTGCCAATCGAAACAGGAGAGACCTTGGGAGTTAAGGTTTACGATGTAAATCATAAAAGGGAGAGAGCATCCTTGAATATAGGTAGCTGGGAAGATAATGAGTGGCCCCCTCAACGTATTATTAATTATTATGGACCTACTACTTGGGCAGAAGATGGCACTTATGGATATAGAACTCCGATTATATATGCTCAACCGCATTATTAGACTACGGGCAGTAGTTGAGATTATTACTAATGACACAGCTCAAGTGCTTAATCTTCTAGCTAAGCAAAATACCAAGATGTGATCAGCCATATACCAGAATAGGCTAGCCCTTGATTACTTACTAGCAGTAGAAGGAGGTGTATGCGGAAAGTTTAATCTAAGTAACTGTTGTCTGCACATAGATGATGAAGGGCAGGCAGTGGCTGAACTTACAAGCCACATGGTTAAATTTGAGCATGTACCTACTCAGGTCTGGAATGGGTATAACCTAAGTAGTTGGTTTGGAAGTTGGTATGAGCAGCTTGGAGGAATTAAGACATTAGTAGGAGGAGTAGAATTTATTATATTTTTTTTGTGCCTCCTCCTGCCCTGTCTAATTCCACTAGTGGTAAGGTCCCTACGTAGCATTATAGAGAGTACTATAGAGAGAAAGACAGCTGCCCATGTAATGGCTGTCTGGAAGATATGATCCCCTAGCCCGAAGAGAATATATTCAGGATGAAGAATGTTGAAGGAGTTTTTAAGATGCTTACAAGGTCTACTCTTGTTCAATGGCTACTTGAGAGATGTAGGTAAAACTGTGATTGGTGATGCATCTGGAATAATGTTATATCAGAGGCATCAAAAGGGGGGAATGTGATGGGATTCCAGCATGGTTAAAATTTAGTAGGCCAAAATCTCCATGTGGCATATGTGTATGTTGTGTCAGTTGGTTAGCTACATGTAGCTAGGATACTGTCATCAGTGTACTGAGCATGTGCAGGAATGCAGGAACTGAAATTGCACTTATTTCCTTTGTCTTGGATGAGCCATGTGGTTTGACTAGATGTACAAGTCTATATTCTGCTCATTGATTGGTTAAAGGTATATGTGGGTGTAGCTATTAATGGGAGGAGTTATAGTGCTATATAAGGAATGTACACTATGTGTTGGTCTCTCAGAATGTTGGAACAGGAGTTCATCTGAGACTCGATCGGTAATGTGAATAAAGGCCTGTTACTTCCTGAAGACCTGTGTCCAATATTTCTGTGTTTGGCTTCTGCATGCTTACACTGCAACAATATGTTTTTTATATATATATTTTAATATTGATATCATCATTGAAGATAAGCTGCTGACACAATGGAGACCTATTCAATAATAATCAGCATTTCTCCTAAAAGAGCATACTCCTATTCACCACCTGTCTTTATGC